AGCATCAGGTGGCGGGCGTCGATGGTGATGCCGTGGCCGGCCATCGTCGACTTGATCTCGCTGATGATCGTCGCCCGGGCGGCCTCGATGCCCAGCACCGCCGCCACCTCGTGAATGTTGTTGGAGGTGGTGCGGCGGGCGTTGATGCCCCGCGTGGCCAGCACGTCGCGCAAGCCGTTGCCCTCGATGGCCAGGTAGTAGCCGTCCTTGCTGTCCTCGCGGATGGTGACCCGCTCCACGGAGCGGTTGCCGCTGATGACCACATTGGAAATCTCGTCCTCAAAGATGGCCGGCAGGTAGACCATTCGCTTGACGCGAGGGCAGATTTTAATGTACGGGTAGACCGCCTTGACGCTCGTTGGCTTCAGCTGGGCGTTGATCTCCTCCACGAGAGCATTCTCATTCAGGTGGAGCTGGCGGGGTGGGTGGGTAGAAATAGGCATTTAGAACTCCCAAACAAAACTCTAAAAAGTACCTGTTTAGTAAAGAGCTCATCGTTGAGCGCCAGGACGTAGCAGAGCTCGCCATTATCAGTGCACTGGTAGATCTTCCGGCAGATCTGGTCGAGGTAGACCTTCTCGATCTTCAGCTTCGTCGCCTCGGCCGCCGCCTCGCTGCCCGAGTCCAGCAGATGGGCTACAATGAAGGGCGTGGAGGAGTTCTTCGTGGCGTTGATGATCTCGGTGATGCGGGGGACACCTAAAACCAAAAAGAATTAGAAAACCTCAGACACCAGGCAAACCCCAAACCAAACTTACCCTGCGTAATGTTCATCGAGGCGACGCCGGTAAAGTGAAACGTCTTGAGCGTCATCTGCGTCGTCGGCTCGCCAATCGACTGCGCACAGATGGCCCCAATGGCCGTGCCCGGGTCAATCTTCGAGTGGGTGAACTTGCGCGCCACCCGCCGCAGAAAGACCTCCAGGTGGGCGGGCGTGATGCGGCTGATCTTCTGCCAGTCGCAGTCATCCGCCGCCTTGTACCGACCAAAGAGGGCGTCCAGACGGGCGGCCACCGGCGCAAAGAAGGCCTCAATCTTCTCGCGGTAGTGCGTCGCAAAAGTGGTCCGACTGCTGCTGCTCGAGATCTTCTCAAAGTCCAGCTCGGCGCAAACTACGTCCAGCCGCCTCCTCAGCTCCTCCTTCAGCTCCTGCCCATTGAGAAAGGGCTTCCTCTCTTCACTTCGAACTTCCACCTTCTCCTCCTCCCACTTCATCATCAGCACGTGGTTCCAGGCGTACTCAAAGTCGATGTACAGCTCCTCCGCCTCGACGTTGATGGGGTCGATGCCGTCGGAGCCGTACTCAAACTGCACCACCTCACCGCTGGAGTTTCTCACCGAGTAGTCATAGTGGACGACCAGGTCTTCGAGGCCCTTGATCAGCCGCCGCTGCATGTACCCCGTCTCCGCCGTCTTCACCGCCGTGTCCAGGAGGCCCTCCCGCCCGGCCATCGCGTGAAAGAAGAACTCAAAAGGGTCGAGGCCGCTCCAGAAGCTGTTCTCCACGAAGCCCTTCGCCTTGGCGCCCTTCTCCCCGGGGCTGAAGTGCGGCAACACTCGGCGGTGAAAGCCCTCCGCCACCCGCTGCCCTCGAATCGACTGCTGGCCGACGCAGACGGCCATCTGCGAGACGTTGATGTAGCTGCCCTTGCTGCCCGACTTGGCCATGATCATGGGGGCGTTCCGCTTGCCATTGCTCGTCTTCAGCTCCTGAATGCAGGCCTTCCCGGCGTGGTCGCGAATGTCGGACAGCTCCTTGAGGATGAGCGACTCGAGCGTCTGCTCGGCGGACAGGCCGGTGATCGGCTGCAGCGTCCGCCCCTTGAACTGCTCAATAAACTGCGCCACCTTGTCGTAGCCGGAGCGCACCAGCTGCGCCTTGGTCTCCTCCAGCGGCCCGGTGGGTGTCACGTCGTCGAGGCCGATGGAGAAGCCGCGGTTAGCTGGGTGGAAATAGACAATGTTAAAACCTCCTCAAAGCAAACTCCCAACAGCAGCACTTACTAATGTAGAAGCTGCTCACCCGACAGAGCCGGAGCATCGCCTGAATCGCCTCCTCCGAGTTGTACTCCTTCAGAATCAGGTAGAAGAGGTTCTTCTTCGAGCCGCCGCCTATCACCGACTTGTCCAGCGTCCCCGACAGCAGCTCGCTATTGCGAATGTGAATATCTGGGGGGGGAAAGATAACAAAGTTAAACTCCTCAAACAAAAACTTCCAAAAGTTCCACCACCACTACTTACATCCATCCTCGCGACACATCTCTCCACTGTACCGCCCCTTCCCTCCCGAGTAGGCCTTGCTAGGGGCGACCAGGTTCAGGCGAATCTTGGAGTCCTTGAAGGGGCGCAGTATCATCCCAAAGAGCTGCTTCCCCGTCCACACCGGATACGGCTTGAGAATGGCCGGTCGGGGCACCACAATCTCCCTCCGGTAGTCCTTGTGGGAGAGCAGATTCGCTATGACCGCACACAGCTCCACCTTGCTGAAGAAGACATCCGGCCGGGTCATCAGGTAGACGGAGGTGATAAAGTCCTGGATGGGGGCGATCACCGGCTCCCCATTTCGCGGGGAGATCATATTGGCGGCGGACTGCATGAGCATCGCCGCCTCTGCCTTCGCCTCCTCCCCTTGCATAAAGTGGACGTTCATCTCGTCGCCGTCAAAGTCGGCGTTGTAGGGGTTGCAGACGCACTCGTTGAACTTGAAGGTGAGGTCGGGATGGACCCGAACGGAGTGGCACATGATGGACAGCCGATGGAGCGAGGGCTGACGGTTGAAGAGGACGTAGTCGCCGTTGAGCATGTGCCGGTCGACGACGTCGCCGAGGGCCAGGTCCTTCGCCGCCTGCTTCCGGTCGCCGTACTTGAGCAGCGTCGAGCGGCCGTTCGCCTTGCGAATCATCACCGCGCCGGGGTGCTGCGCCGGGCCGTTCTTCACCAGCTCCTGCAGCTGAAGCAGGTTGAG